AAGTCTGCTTTAAAATCAGTTTCTCTCATATATTTTTAATAAAATCCCATTTCTTTAAAAGCCGAGATACTTGCTAACAAAACATTTATTTTGCTTATTTAGGGAGACATTGCTTCTCAGAATATGATGCGAGCAGTTGCCAGACAAGTCTGTGAACAGTTGATAAATGGTAAACAGTGTGGCTTTCTTTGTGCTTCATACCTCTGATTTACTAGTGTGCTTGTTAAAAGAGAAAAGAACGGTGTAAATTTGAGATGAGAGAGCTTGGCAAGAGCTTGAGTGATGTCGCAGTTTCTCCAGCGCCACCTACTTAGTGGGGAAAAGGATACAGGGCTCAGTCATTGCTACATCCAAGTAGCAAGGTTGACCATGGATGGTCACGGCTAGCTGTGACCTTTGGAAATATACAGACAAGTCCAATACCCACCACAAGACAGGTAAGCTTCATGTTATCCCTCTGGTCTAAACTTACCTTATCATAAACTTAGTATATATTTCTTCATTAATTATGTCGTATCTCCAGGAGGAGGGAATCGGCAAGAAAAGCAAAAAAAACAACAAAAAAAGTTCATTTAAGATGTTTTACTAGTGAGAAATGACAGATGGTGTTTGGATAAATAGTGTGCACAGAATTGGCTGAGATCTGCAAGTAAAAATTAAATTGCTCCAAATTAATTTCCAGTCCTCTGCTGCCACACAGGGGGTGATTAGAGTGCAGCTCTGCATCCCATGGAAATTTTCTCTGCAGAGAGGCAATGCTTTTGCTATCAGCAGGCCTACCAAGGTAGGCAGAGCCAGATGTGCCCATAAATTGTTCCTAAAACTTAATACTGTCTCTATAATAATGGTAAGTGCTGGCTAGATCTTGATTCTTTGTTTTTTTTTGAAGTGAATATCTTTTGAATCAATGAGTCAGGGTGTGCAGGTGGGGAGGACAACATGTCCTCTAGGATATCTGCAGTGGCTGATTTTAAAGCCTGTTTAATTCATTATATCATTGACCAGCACATAGAAGGCCAGCACAGGCCTGTGTATCCTGCATAGTTCATAGACTGCTGACTGTGCTGCACAGGGGTAATTTATCATTGTAACTTCTGAGCTCCAAGAGTATGCAGAAACATGGTCCTCTTCACTGTTGGAGGTTTAACAAGCCCTTTCTGATCTTTAGAGTGAGACAACACCTCTAACTAGGGTTTTGAGAGCCAGAAAGTTGTAAACAAGTGTTTTTTTATCCCTGATTTAAACTTTTTTTTTTAACAAGGTTGTCTGCTTTCAGAATTCCTCTTTACCTTCTTTCCATGTATTTTACATGAATCTTAATTCCCCCGAATTCACTATGCTAATTCGCTGTTATTTATTTGGACAGAGCAAAGAGAGGATTGAATCAAAAGGGATACCTCTTCTTTCTCACTGCAATGAAAGCTTTTCATATGTTTTTACTGAAGCATTTTTTTTCTTTTCAAGGCCAAATGAGCCGGTTCAATCAGATGCTGAATCAAATCCCAAATAATTATTATTCAAACCGTAACCAGCCAGGGCCACCAGGACCACCTGGTCCCCCAGGAGCTGCTGGGACAAGAGGAGAGCCTGGACCTGGAGGAAGACCAGGGTTCCCAGGACCTCCTGGTGTCCAAGGACCACCTGGTGAAAGAGGTAAGTGACGCCTAGAACAGCTGTGTATTTTACTGAGGACATAGGGCAGAGACTGCCAGGGGGACAATGTGATCCCTTCACCATGTCAAACTAGGAAGCACTCACCTTCCAGGTCAGCTGGATTGCTTGGAGGACAATAATATACTGGAGGAAAGATCAGTTATGTCAGTTGGTGCCTACAGGACTTTCCTCTGTCCCTCTCTTGCTCATTTCATGTTTCATGAAATCCAGGATACTGTGAAGTTTTGGCTGCCCTCTCTGCAAAGTGTGAAGCATCCTCAGGATATCCCAGGAAAGAAACTGTTCTCAGAGCTCTTCTGGCACCAGACAGCTATGTCTTGAAAGGCTGTCTGGAGTAACATAACCCTGTGCAGAGCAGACACCTGATTAATAGACAAAATGTATCATTACCAAGAATTAGAAGTAAGAGTCAAAAGAATTAAGACTCCATCTTTGTCCCTTTGCACTCGTTTGAGAAAGTTTAGTTTACATTTAGCCATCTATATAAAATAAGGGTTGATCAGCCCTCATCTGTTAAGTAATAGGAACTAAATATTAATGTCAATGAGAGAACATGAAGAAATATTTATTAATGCATTTTGCTTCCTTTTTTTTTTTTTTTAATTCTGTAGGAATGCCTGGAGAGAAAGGTGAAAGAGGGACTGGATCTCAAGGCCCACGAGGTTTGCCAGGGCCACCTGGTAAATATGTCTCTTTTTTTTAGTTAAAAACAGATTACAGAAAAATGGAAGAAAAGGACAGCATTTTTTTTGCCTAGGAAACTAGATTGTTTATGGTAAACGAACATACACTACTCTGTGCACTACATGTTTTTGACATGTGTTGGAGTGTAATGGAAACTTCTACAACAAGGGGCAATTTATAAAGATTGTTGGATATGGCTCATAAATACTTATCTTTTTCTTGTAATTTACTTATCTGGCATGTTTGCTTGTGTGAAAATGAATTTCATGAAAATGCACTAGCCAAATATTTAATGATTGTTTTCACAGATTTTAGCAGATGATACTTTTGGAATACCTAGTTACATTTTTCAGTTATATCTGTGATTACACTTGGTGCCAGAACTGTGAAATGTGCCATCGTACAAAGTTACCAGATGGCAGTCTCATTACTTGACCATTGCTTTTGCTGTTTGTCTCATGCAGTTTTGTTCAATAACACCTTGGAAGAAATTAGTAGCAGCATTTGTTTCTGCCTTTAGTTTACAAGGCTAAACAAGCTTTTTCATTACAGGGTGCATAAGAAATTTGCAGCAAATTGTAGCTCCAGTTACTTGAAACTTTATATTTCTGCTAACCGTAATACAACCTGTTCCAAAAAAAGCATTACCTCATGTACCCTAGGGGTTCAGAGTAGCAGAATTAATGTACTCCTATATTTCAATTGAAATCCAATGTGCTTGTCTAATCTAGTAGTTTCCCTTGAGATTTTCATATCTTACACAGAGTGGAAATAAACCAGAGAATTCATTGATGTTTGTAACTTGGCTCAAACCTTGCTAAATCAATTTCTGTGAATAAATCCTTAAGTAAGCCACACACAGGGAAGCAACTAATGATGAGTCATATTTCTGGTTTTCTTTTATTTTTCTTTCCGTCAACTCACATAGAGCAACAAAGTGCAAGTGTTTTCTCACCAAAGACATGGACTAGACTGGGCAGTCTAGACGGCAGTAATGTTAACTATTTTATCAAGCTGCCTCTTAAAGAAAACAACTTTCTCACCTTTCAATTCCGAAATTAGGTCCTCAAGGAGAATCTAGAACTGGCCCACCAGGCTCCACAGGATCACGAGGACCCCCAGGGCCACCAGGTCGTCCAGGGAATGCGGGTATCCGAGGTCCCCCAGGGCCACCAGGGTATTGCGATTCGTCCCAGTGCGCTAGCATCCCTTACAACGGCCAAGGATTCCCAGGTATGTTACCCACAACTTAACTGCTCTTTGCCCTGAAGAACCTTCACAGAGGTGGCAGCTCATGTTGAATTGCTTTACATGAGACAGTCCTGCTTGCCTGGGCGCATTGATTGGGAGGAAATGGCTGCAAGGAGCAGGCCTGTCTCACTGTAATCTGCAGGTGGAGGATCAGCCATTTCGATTTCAGTGCAGATTTACTTGTGATATGTAGCTCAATATAAATAGGAAGTAGTAGAAAATGTCTCAGTCTTTTTTTTTTTTTTTTTTTTTTGTACTTAGAAGGTTGGTAGTTGATAATGTTGTTCATAGGATGTAAGTGACTGTTTTCTTCTTCTTTTTCTCCCCCCTCCCCACCCCTTCCAATCGTCTTCAGAACAAGGTTGAATTCTTCATGTTTCTCTTGAAAAATAAAAAGAATGCTGTGGTTGGCAATGTCCGTGTCTCTCTTTTTGAGCAAAGTCAGGATTATTTATACCAAATTGGTACCTGAAATCAAAATTTTCCACAAAGGAAATCCGTTCCATGATACAGTGCAGACAACTGAAAAACACCACTGTCCTACAATTTCTACTGAGTTAAACTGCCTGGAGTCTGATTAGCCCTGGGTCTTATCAGCCTTCCACTCTGAGAAGTAGCTCAAAAGACTGGGCTCCTTCTGGAATCTGTGTAAAGGGGTCAGCGGCCACCAATTTGTGACACTTGAGAAGGCACTAATGTATTTACATGGGGATCCTGCAGGACCACAGTATTGTTAACAAATTAATATGTATGCATTGCAACATCTCAAAATTAGTGTATGTGATACTACTATTTGATATGGTTTGCTGTTAGCATATTGTGCATGTACCCACAAAAAACCCCCAACAAAATATATATATATATGTACACAATTGCAGACTTAGTGCTGCTTGTTAAAGAGACAGATGTTTACGTAGATCTCATGCAAAATTCTGATTTAAATGCAAAAGAAGGAAAATTATATCTGTGATTCAGCAGTGATCTCCTTTCTAGTAAGCAGCTATGTATACATATATAAATATATACCTATGACTTAACTGTTATGTATTTATTTGGATGAAAGTATGTTTTTGCAAATCAGTTTGACTTTAAAAGACTAACATCTTCTTTGACCTGTTTCAGGTTTCGGCTAACACATTTTCTAAGTCGCCAGTGCTGCTTACAGTTTGAATACATGAAAATCCTGTTTCTGAGATGTTTGCGCACGTGCTTATTAGAAAATGAGTCCGTATGGATATTTCACCACGGATATGGTTTTTGAACCATGCTGCCTCATAGAATGGGGAATTTCTTTTACTAACATAACTCATGAATGAGATAAAGGACAGTGATGTCGATTCATTAAGCCTGTTGCATTACAGTAATAAAGTAGACAATCTTTATTTTTCTAAAAAAAGACCCAAATCTTCCAAAGCCTCAGGATGGAAGGGGCTTATAAAACTACTAACCAGCAAAGGTAATGCCATTAGAAGAGACAGATTTAACCTGATAAATGAGAAATGACTTATGTAAATAGTAAACTAATTGTGGCTTGTAAATGATTTGTATGGGATCGTATCCACTAAAATCTGTTAACAACTCTACGTGATGCTTCTGCATAAAAGCCTGCTGCTGCTTGCTACATGCCAGAATAACATCTTTGACTTATGAAACCTACCTGTCTGTTGCTTTTTACCACCATGCCTGATTTGGGGCATGTGCCTTTTTTTGTATATGTAATCTTGTTGGATTCTGTAACTGCAGATATAAATACGAAAGTTTTATAATTATTTTTTTTCTGTTTTGCTGTAGTTTTTGGTGTTCCTGAAGCACCAGCTGTAACTCGATTTGTTACGAGGAACAGCACCAGAAAGTGATATGTACTGTATATTGCCGCTGGTGATAGTTACATGTCCATTTATTTTCCCATTCTCAGAGAAAATTAGTAAATGACAAACTCCACCTCTTCCTTGTGCTATATTGATTTCTTGATCACATAGATGAAGTCTAAGTACTTCCTGAAGTAACTGTAAAATAATATTTTTGATTTGCTTTTTTTTCTTTTTTTGCAATAGTTGGTCCTTTGCATACATTAAGATTCATTCTGCAATGTTTTGTGTATTATAAATACAAAGCCATTCAAAATGATTTTTTATCTCTTTATTATTTTACTGCTAGAAACCATTCACGAACAAAATTGAAAAACAACCTGGTGAATTATTAATTTATATATTTATTATATGGAAATAAGATCGGACTAACATTACATAGACAAACTAACTTTCATTGTATTTGTGGATTCAAAGACATGTGATAATTGTAATGTTCAATCGGACAAACTATTTTCAACCAGAATCATACGTGCCTGAAAGTGGACCCTATCAGCCTGAAGGTGAACCCTTCATAGTACCTATGGAGTCAGAAAGGAGAGAGGACGAGTATGAGGACTATGGAGTTGAAATGCATTCACCAGAATACCCTGAACATATGCGCTGGAAAAGATCGCTGTCAAGAAACGCAAAAACAAAGCAATAAAAGATCTGTGCCTTGTTTTGGTTTTTTTGGTTACTGGTTTTTGTTTTTGCTATGCTTGCATAGGCAGATACACATGGGGAGAGTGCATCATGTTTTTGCAATATAGCTTTTTTTTTTTTTGAAAGACATGCCCCCCCTGTTTTGTAGGAGTATCTTGCTTATGTAGGAATAGCAATGTATGTAACTAGACATTTCATACTGCTCTGGAAATGCCTGTAAAATACTTCTGCTTAGAGTGGCTGCATACAAGTTAATATGTGAATTCAGTTATCCCAATGCTGCATTTTCATTAAAATAATGTAAAAAACAAACTAACAAAAAAAAAAACAAAAAAGAAAACCAAAAAACCAAAACAAAAATAACCGCAGAGCTATTGCAGGTTTTTAAGGACTATTTCCTTTAGCTCTACATTTTTGTTCTTTTTCAAATGCATGTTTGCAGTTCAGTCAGATCACAGGTCTACATTATCTAGTTAAATAAGAAACCAAAAATCTCTCTCCTTCCAGTATCATTGCCATTTTCTTTTATTCTTAGCTACACTTTGCAGAGCATATACTGCTCTTATACATCTCCTTTTACAACCACAAACATTAAGCGAAGTAGCTGACATCATTGTATCAACTGGATACAGTTTAATAATGCCTTAAATCTCCTTGTTTTTAGACACATTAACATTTATACCAAATTGCAGTCAATCCTGCAGAGATGGAATTGCATGTTTGTGTTGTATATTTAGTATGGATTTTTTTTTCAGAATACAATGTTTCTTAGTTACCAAAAGCAGTTGAAAATTGTTTGCAAGACTATGGAATATAGAATTGCTGCTTTTATATTGTAACTGCAAATTGTGAATTTCACTGCCTTATATTATTTATTTCTGAAATGAAAGAGGCATTTTTCAATAAAACTACTGAAAATTTAAGTGTGTCTGTTTGTTTCTTAAAAGGCACTAAGAGGCTTCCTATCTGTAAGGTGCTCTGCATGATGTGTGTGTATACTATTAGTTTTCTTTATTCAGTCTTTCAGAAATGTCAAATATCAAAATCATCTAGACTGGACAAAATCATCTAGACTGGAAATAGTGATAAAATAGACATTTGGGCTGTGGTATCTAGGGCATGGATAAAAGCAGAAGAGGTGTCCACTTTCTAAAATATTGATATGACTCCTGACAATGCATATGGTGTTTGGTGAAAACATCAGAACAACTCTAAGCTCCAGTT